CCCCAAAACCCCAAAACCCCTTCAATTTGAAATAGTCAAAGTAAATGAAATTAAGAAATAAATTTTGATTATTAATATTGAGATCATTATTTGCCTCCAATGACAACCTCATTTGAAAAGTTCATAAAAGTTCCATCATCGTAATCAAGTATCCGCTCTCCTCTTAAGTTAAGCTTCCATTACTTGAAAGCTTCAAATTCTCCATAAAGTAATCCTTTAACCTCATTACTCTAATTCAAGTTTTCCTTAATTCTTTTTGCAGGATTAAATATCTCATAACCTTTCATTAAGGTGTTATAGTCGATGTTGTGCCTGGTCTCAATAATCTTTTTAGTCTTCATTCTTTGTTTGATCAATCTGCCTGCTTATTAAGAGACTTTAGGGGATATTATGTCTATCAACTGGGACTATTAACTTTTAAATAGCTCAACTTGAAGTTTTTCAACCTGACTGTCGTATTACTTGGCTTTTGACTTTTCACATGCATCATGTGATATGCCAATAGGAGATAAAAATCTTTCATTATCCTTAACAGGACTCATAATCCTTACAAATCTATTGCCGATCTTTTTCCTTTATTTTGACATCAAGGGAGATTTATTATTTGCTATCTCTTACTTTATTTATTATTTATTTTGGAATTTCTTGCTTCTTTGAAGTTTTAACAGCATATGCACCAAAGACTATTTGCACAAAGCCTTCTATTCATTCAATTGATTATTTTAGGATAGCCTGTAAGTTTCACTTTCTTTATTTTTTTCTGGACTATTATTACTTTTTTTAGAAGATTATCTTAGCATTTTGAGGCCCTATGCCTTCTCTAATGGCACAATCTTTCGCGTGTAACTCGAAACTTAGGAATTTACTCTCTTAGTTGATTACTGATTTGTAGGCATTCCTAAATGATTGGTTGCAGAATTAGGCAAGAAATTTATAATAGTTGTAGTGTTATATTTTGGGGTTGAAAGGATAGGATTTTATTATTAACTTTGCTCTACTCCTATCTGAGAATTAGTTAAATTGCTTACTTTGCTAAATTACTTTATCGTCATATTACTGTGATTTCGGTACTTGTATTTTTAAGAGGACTCTACTTTTGGTGACTCTGTCGATTCTAACTCTTACTTAGACTCAGACAGTTCAATCACCTAAATATCTTAGTTTTGTTAATTCTCATTAATAAGCCTTGCTGTTCTATAGCTATCTTAGATATTTATAATGGTATCTTCATTAATCTGCTACGTGGTATATAAATTCTCAGCTGTAGTTTCTTAGTCATGTAACTGAATAATTTCAACCTAATTTTTTAACAGTTTTTATTTTCTTCGTAAGAATCTAGGGCTTCTTCTCTGTAACTGACTTTCATATCCTCCTCCAATTGTAGACATTTCTTTGTATTATTTGACTCCTTTAATAAACCCTTTGAAATGATGAGAAGAGCTATCATTCCTTTCCTTTCCCATTTTAAACATATTTTCATTAAGATGGCCTGTGTAATAACTAGGTGCATTTACTCTTGGCGAACTGACTCTTGTCTTTACCATTAAATCCATAGTTTGATTAGAATGCAAAGTTGGATTTTCTTATCCTGATAAAGTTTTCAATAGAAAATTCTTAGCAAAACTAGTGCCTTTTCTATCAGAGTTTGGACCAAATTCATAGCTCTAACTTAATTTACCCATATTTCGTTTATATTCCTAGCGAATCATATGTCTCTGAAGAGGATGAGCGAATTTAAGCCTCTCTTGAAGTCTTTATCTTTACTCTGATGATATAGCTTGAAACTACATGCTCTATGCATTAGTTGTTGTTAGATAAGGTTTCTTTTACGACGTTACCTTATTTTCTAATTGCTATTGCTTTTCAATAGTCATTGTCTGATAAGCGGGATTATTAAATTTTGCAGATTTGCTTAAAGTCTCATTTTCTAGTTTGTTTAAACGAATTCGTCTAAAAATATTGTCTAAAAGTGATTTACCCTCCATCTACTCTTAACAATCAATATCACAAATTATACTTTTATATTTTATTTTTTCTACTAATTAACCTGGAAACCTCCATGCGGGGTTTTGGGGTTTTGGGGTTTTGGGG